TATAACAATAATCATCTGTTCAAATATCGATAACCAACAATCATAAGATCAATATGCAATATGTTATTAATGTGCAGTAACATTGTAAAGTAATTAAAATAAAGCACGCCAATAATAATGATCATGGTTACATGTAATACACAATAAAATGTTCATTATTATATATAAAAGTACATAGTGATTTTTAAAAAAATCATAATATTCATCAGGATTTAAGTGACATATTATTTCCGTGCATCTCGCACACACTCAATGATAATAATGACATATAGATCAGTGTCTGAAATCTTTTAAGTAGCAATAAGAATGAATCATAAAGTCATTAATATGTTGTGATCGTATACACACTTTTTATACCAAAAGTTCACTCGCAAAGATTAATCCGTTATGTTAATTATAGACACGTGTAGCAAGTCAAGTCAAATTCAGATTGGATTAAAATTAATCTGCATTGTGATTATATGTTTCGAACTGAATATAGAAAAGTGCACAAGCATGTTTAATGCGCAAACATGTACAATATTCGTTTTTGAATAATTTTCTGGGAATGAAAATACTTTCATCGCTAGGGTTCATTATTCTGTAAGCGGATTTATTTTTATCAATTGAAACCAAACATTTTGCTCCGATAAGTTTTTTCTTTGACTCGAGCTTTCGTACTGGTTCTAGTAAAGCTACTGAAACAGAGGAAGAATGTGATATTTTCACTGGTATTAAGCATTCACATCTTGGTGAAATCAATTCTGATTTAAAGTTACGCACTAAACCTACTACGGGTGGACTATACAAAGGTAAGAGCAAATTATAGTCAGGCAATGCCATGCTATCAGACGATAAATCAATTTTTACATTGTGTTTTCTTAAGAAATCTGTGCCTAATATCAAACCTCTTGGCAATTGACTAAATACGTGGACTTTATGTTTTATGATCACATCTCCAAAACAAAGAGGTAACTCTACTTTTCCTAAAACTTTGATCACAGATCCATCAACAACTGAAACTTCTTTTAATGACGGTTTTTCGTATTCATTTCGATCCTTTTTTCCTAATTTTGATAAAAGAGATTCTGATACACAAGATATGACGGCACCTGTGTCAACCAAAGCATTGACATGTTGTTTGTCGATTTGGATTGATACTAGATTACTAGCTTGGTAATCGGAAATAATAGAAATTGGCACTTTTCTATCTTCAATCTTTTATAACACCTTTTTCTTTTTCTTAGTCGTTTGTTTACACGTTCAGAATGACAGACTTTTGCTATGTGTCCTAATTTACCACGACAATTACAGTTAAAATTGCGAGCAAAACAATTAGTTCTGAGATGTGTGTACTCACCACATCCCTGACACATCGACCATTTTCTTATTGGATTTCGTTGTTGAGGATAGTTTTGACTTCCAGATGATGTTAATTTGTACTCTGAGCGTCGCAGATGCCTGCCGCGTTGGTGCATACGTCTGGGACCTATAAATTTTCCTGGATACGCGAATGGGCTTGCTCTCGTAGGTAAAAAGTTTGTTTCATTTCTGGTTTCGCTTGGTTCGTGCAATATATGGATTGCAGACTGTACATTGGCGTTGTCCTTAATTGAACTCTGAAGAGTGTCTATTTTCTCTGTTATCATTTTTATGTCATTTCGTTGACCTCTTCTCGTCGGCTGAACTGCGTTTTCTGCAATGCGCGCGTGGTGCATAAGAGAATCAAAGTCTGTGGGCTCCTTCTGCAATACAAATGGGCGGATTTCGGGTAGTAACCCATTCATTACCACTGTAAAGGCTGTTTTCTCATCTAAACGCGCACGTTTGGCGTCGTGACGCATCGACTCGATGTACCTTTGTACTGGTTCTTCTGGAAGTTGATGACGCTTGAAAAATTCTGAGGCTTTCTCCCAAGTTTCACCGGATTTCAGTTCATATCGCTGTCGGAACTCGCGGACTAGCAATTTCCAGTCTTTCTGTACTTCCACGGTTAAACAATCGTACCAGTTTAACACTGTTGGATTTAGTAAGAGAGGAAATAAGGCGGTGATTTGTTCATCTTCTAGTTTTTTATACTGCGCATAGTTTTCAAATTGATTTAACCACCTTTCTACATCTTCGTTTGCGTTACCAGTGAACTTTTCTGGCGCTAAAGTCAAATCTGAGGACATCTTCATTTTTTTCAGTTATTAATTGTTGCTAGGGTAATGACTTTTGGCGATTTTCAATACCCAGCATACTCAGTTTTCGCTGCACTGGGGCACTGACGATGTTTGCCCTTGGGTGGATGGTGTGAACCCATCGGTGTCTACGCTCCTGCCGCCGTCATCACCATAACTGTATCGCCGTTCCGGTAGAGCGGGGATCGATTTTTCCTCCACCACTTGTTATAGTGAGGAATGACGACAGCAGTTTGGAGCTTTCGAACGTTTATTCACCGACCTCTCTCTTCATACAACTTCACAAATATTTATACTCAATTTCTCCGTACTGATCACGCATTTACTTGTTTTCTTTCCCATCGTCTTTGCGTGATTACAAAATATTTTCCATTCTCATGTTGCAAGTCACTATGCAACATTTCCTTATTAGGTAATCCATTAGAGACTTGTTTTCAATTAAAGATATCTAAAATATTATTTGGATTACTCATACTTGGATCTTGTCCAAAACTCAGTTATCATGTGATAAATAGATGATCAAAATTAAAATATGTTATGAAATTAACCAATCACATTAACTGTTATTGACTTTGACCTTTTCCATCTTTTTCTGACACTAAAAACATGTTCTACACTTGTTGACTCTTGGAGAAACTTAACTTACACTCAATAACTCTTTGTCTTTTTACTCTTTTGATTCCGCTTTAATTGCTATCTGTAATTAGTGAAAGTGTAAGTAATTTGCTTTACAACAGCAAGATGGCTATCATAATATATATATTCATAATATTTCATACTGTACATTTTCCTTGTTTTTCAGCAATTCATCATGATGACGATCTTGAGCCAGCAAATCACGGGTCTACAAGTACAACATTGACACCCGCATGAAACCAATGACTGTATTTGTTACTAGTAACAATAAATGATATCGCAATGATTTGTGAAGCTTTGTTTTGACCTGAATTTTGTTACAAATGAGAGAAAGAAGCAAACTATTCATCACCTGGTCCATAACTGAACTGAGTACACGTGTCCAATATGATTGACCGAAAAGTACTGAATTTGAAACTACCCGCACGAAAATGCAGTGGTATCGAAGTAGCAAAGAAGCATTAACGCAGCAGAGGTGTGGAGCATATTTGCAGTAGAAATGCAGTATAGCCTACTGCAATTCTACTTCAAAAATTACATAGGGTTGTACAGAGGAGGAGCATTAATGCAGTAGATTAGCAGCATGATAGAAGCATATTTCAAATATGCTAATTAGTTCCCACATCGAAGCAGATTTGAAGCATGTTTGCAGTATGATTGCAGTAGTCTACTGCGCTGGAGTATCTACTTTGTTTTTGTGCGGGTATACCCTAACTTTGTTTAACTTACTTACAGTGTGACATAATGCCAAAACATATTAAACAGCCTCTTCAAGAACCCCGACATGTGTTTATAGTTTTATTTTACAAATTGAGCACTTTTTTGTTACAAGATGATGCTGCTTTTCTTGATGTTCATCCTCTAGATCGCCATCACTTGCTGATCCTTGGAAGTGCCCCCCCCCCCCCTTCGTCATCACCATTATTTCCTAGTAGTACACTGTATTCACAACAGCGTAAGTGACCTATGTTGTCGCTACACACACACACACACACACACACACACACACACACAAAACACACACACAGTGCTTTTCGGCTGTCAGATGGACACATAAAAGTGTGTGTGTGTGTGTACTGTGTGTGTGTGTGTGTTTGTGTGTACTGTGTGTGTGTGTTTGTGTGTACTGTGTGTGTGTTCTGTGTGTGTAGGCTACTGTGTATGTGTGTGTGTGTGTGTGTGTGTAATATTAGTAAGTAACAGTCACGAGTGAATAAGAAGCGGTGATTTGTTGTGGTGATTTTTTGAGTAAGGCCATCATATGTACAGGTGTTAGTAAGACGTGTATATGATGCAGTAAATTGTGTAACTTTTGTATGAAAGCGGTAGAATCTATTACACAGCTTATTTTTGAATATAAATTACTCCTATCTTATGAGGGGTACTGTTAACCATTATTTTTATCAAATTCAGAATGGAATTTCTCATTAGTAACAGAGCTAGAGTAATGGGAATTATCGGCAGCTACTTTATTAAAATAATATTGATTGTGAAATACTGCGTTAACTCATGTCCCAAAAGGTCTTCAAATCTATTTTTTTGCGCAGCCAGAACATATTCGGAGAAAAGTTAATCAATATAATCACAATGATGGATTGGATTCTGAGAGGATTTTGGATTCGGGACGGTAAAAAATAAACATTATATTTGATGGTATATAAGATCATGCGACTTCTATTATGAATTTGAAAAAGGTTTATAGTTCTTCATAATCAAATGCTTGGAGACTGTGTATAACATCGTTCTCTCATTTTGAACTGTCTATACATATCCCCTTAATTACCACCTGTCCTGTCTGAACCAGAAAACATAAACAAGAACGCACAAGACAAGTGTCTGTGTGTGTACGCAACACGTACATGATGATCACCTAACACTTCCATACCACCGTTTGTTTCTAGCCACATGTATAGGCTACTTCAGTCTTATTTATTTAACCTTTTAAATGTTAAGTGTAAGTGAATGTCTCGTGTCCTCTTAATATCCGCAGTATTCATTATAAAAATATAAATATCCAAATAATATGTATGATAAATGTTTCAGTTGAATGTGCTTATATAAGATTTAACACAGCAGACCCTGTCTTATCCCCCCCCCCCAATTGTACGAGCCCTCAGTATTATCGACTTTAGACTCCTGCCAGCCAGTGTACCTCACACGTACCTGTTATCTTATGTACTAACCTGACCTGATAAATAATGCTCTGTTCACAGTTTAATAACGATAGGTCTCAATGCTACTGATAGAACGGGGAGTAGGCCGTTAAAAGGTCACTCAGGGATGCAGAATATCGCGTACTGGTATGCTCTTTGTTTGAGAACTGGACGTGAGAAATAATTCAACATGGGTTCCAAGACAAAAACACTGGTTGCTGTCCTCCTCACTGCGACTGCCGTCTACATCGCCACCCTCTACGTGGATGATTTTGATCCCGGTGAGCATGAACGGTCTTTGCCGGTCCTTATCTAAGTCTGATGTACATGTTCATATAGTCTACTGTACTCTACACGGTTGAAATGGGCCTGATATTTGTAATCTGTGTGTGCGTAAACGATTAATGACTTTAGTTAGACCAACTTAGTTTGGTGATGCTGAAAAAACTAAAGTCGATCATATTTTGTGCACCACTCTCTCTCTCTCTCTCTCTCTCTCTCTCTGCACTAAATAACGTAAACACAACCAGAAAACACATATTTATAACCGCAAAAAGGAGTGCTAACGCATGAATTTCGTACCATTTCTTTCCTTGCCTTCAAAATCATAAACACAATCTACTTCGTCTGCCCAAGATAAAGCCACATGAAACTTTGCCTTTACACATGAATTAAAAAAAAATACCAGTGCTTTATTAAATTTCCAGATTTATAACAGAAATCAAAATGATAATAGGCTGATATAAGCATATCGGTTTTATCACAGCCATGGTGAGAGGCAAGAGAGTGCTCATTACCGGGGCGTCCTCTGGAATTGGAGAACAGGTGGCGTATCATTTCGCCAAGATGGGAGCAAACATTGTTTTGACGGCGCGCAGATAAAACCTCCTAAAAAAGGTCAGTTACCGGTAATAAATTAAGACACGTGAGGGAAGGTCAACCTTCAAATAACAGCTTTGAACTTCGTATCTTAGAAAATATGCTTTATTAACGATTTTGCATTGCATTTTGTATTGTTCCAATACTGAATCTTTGAATCTAATGCTTTTAGCGCTTTGCCTCCATTTCTTTCGAATAAACATTGTTTAAAAAATTAACGATTTTATTTTCCTTTACAAAAGCTGCTCTGTAATTTACTTATTGGTATTGCAATTTGAACAGTTGAGTGTCTGTTGCATTTTTGCCATAATAACGGCTTCAGGTCATCGCAGAGTGTAACAAGTTATCTCCGGCACCTGAGTCTAACCATGTGTACACAGTAGCTGATCTGAGAGACATGGAGGAGACAGCTAGAGTTATCAAGGTACACAGTACACACACACACACACACACACACACACACACATTGAGCTGGGAGACATGGAAGAGACAGCTAGGGTTATCAAGGTACACAGTACACATGTAATAGGGTGAAACATTACGAAAGCATTCCCGCCTGTAAAATATTGTTGTATGGTGAAACCAATTGTGTTAGAGGTGACTATACAGTGGGTCCCTCTAGTGTAAAAAAAGTGAGTAGTTCTAAAAGGTTGGAGAGTGTGTACTCCATGCGGAGTTCTAACATGTTTATTGGCACACGTGTTTTCCATGTTAGAGAGGGAAATCCATGCGGAGTTGTGATACACACACGTGGAAGTAATGTAAAACTGTGAAATAATAATAAAAAAAAAATTGAACCAGCAAGTTTTATTACTTTATCTACAACACTGCCCTTTTGGCGGTCACGTGTGCTTTGTTAGTCACGTGAGCGGGAAATATAAATTACCCGCTCAACAGTATTCTTGAGTTATTTTTACTCACACTGTCACGTTGGCATGTATGTATGTACATGAATAAAGAAGCTTATTCTTCTGAGATTCAGTCGATGTTTGTTGTGATACTCGGTTACAAATGGCGCAGTCGACAGGATTCAGCTTTTCCTGTTTTCAACGATATTGACGATCCTCTGAACTTTACGGAGATCTTGGGTAGATAGCAAACAAACGGTGACTGTACTTCTCAGTTGAACAATAGCACATTCCATCCACCGTATGGGAGGGAACGGATTTTCAACCAGTCACACCCTTCTACAAGGTGAGATCTCAAAGTAATCGTCAATTTGTCATCGTAACGACTGATAGTTACCTGTACGTAAAGATACACGAAGTGCTTATTAGGCTTCGTTAGAGAGACATTTGTGTAGATCGTCTTGAGTGAGCCTTGCTCGTTGCGATTGGACTCCGGATTGGACTTTGTCCCGGGGATAGCACTGTGATTGCCATCGGGACAGGTGAGGACGTATTCGGCTTTGTTGTGTCTGCTGTGTTTGTTGCCAGGACCGTAGTGTTGGAGAGAGCTGGGCTCAGAATCTCGAAAGGATCGCTATGTTGCGCACGCGCTATAGCATAGCTAGCGTGTGCTATTTGCTAGTGCGATTGCACCCACCTGATATCTCGAAGCCTTAGCAAACTCAACGCAATAAATGCCTGTCCGGAAGTACAATTATAGTCTCGAACACACGCGTACGCCTAGCGGTTCTTTTTTGTTTTGAGGGACGATAGTAAATCGCACGTGAAATGGAGAAACACAGCAGGGAGCGTTTTAAAACCGATGAGCTCGCGGTGTTGGTGGAGGAGGTCTCGTGTAGACCTACACTATTTAGCCCCTTCACCAACACCGTGGCTCTAAAGTCCAAAGAAAAACAATGGGCTGAAGTTGCCGAAAAGTAAGTTGAATAATTATGATTAACAGTCCTTTTCTGTTAATCGTAGTCTGTTTTGCCATAGTAAAATTATATCCATTATATTTAATTATTGCTTATTGATGATTTAGTTTGGTATGTTGTTGTAGTTATTCAATAAAAGTAATTGTAATTGCTCTCTATTAACACATCTTGACATGGTCATGTACAGTATGATGAAGCAATAAAGTGGTGATTCTTATATTTTTTTAATTAAAATTATGAATGCTTTCCTTCTAGAGTTAACAGTGTTTCACATATAAAGAGGAGTTTCCGAGAGGTCAGGAAAAAATGGCATAACCTCACGTCTCGCACTAAGCGCAAAGAGGCCAAACGCCGTGCAGCAATGCGGCAGACAGGTGGTGGTGTGGGGCCCAGTCCACTGTCAGAGTGGGAGAAGGTGTTATTTTGTTATTATTAAAAATGAATTTGTATATTACACAATGGCTAACTTCGTTTTATATTTAATTGCTTTAAGAACATCAAAATGATATTAAGTAGAGTAATTAACTTAGACTGACTCTGTGAATATGAATACTTCAACACTGAGTTTCACAGACATGCCCTATTGGAATGTCCAATCACCAGGAGGCATATTTTATATATACATATATCTCTATATGTTTATACTGATCAGGTAATAGAGATAATTGGAGAAACTGCAGTAGAGGGTATCAAAGAATTGGCAGGAAACGA